CCACTGCCCCTACTGGGGACTAGAGGGACCCCATTGTGCTGCTCATCTGACTTTCTCATTCTCTAGAGGACAGGAGATTGTTAATTCTAGTCAGCCATGGCAGGTGGAGATGTACAAGCTGCATTTTCTCAATTGTGACCTTAATACTCTGGAGGGCCTTTGAAGACAGAGTTCTCCTTAGATGGTCTCACCTTAGGACTTTCTGCTCCCTGGTTGTGTCTTCCTTTGCTTGTGTCATCAGGAGATGACAGCTCTCTGTCCTCCTCTTGTTGAGAATGGCCATGGAGAAGTGTCCTCTACATTGGATGGGCCTGTGTGTGGATCATGGTCCCGCTTCACTCTCTGAGTGATACACAGGACTGAACTTATAAAATGGGGAACACATGTTTTGGGGCTTCAAGACCATGAAATGAGCACTCTTTTTTTTTTTTTGGTTTTTCGAGACAGAGTTTCTCTGTATTGTTTTGGAGGCTGTCCTGGAACTCGCTCTGTAGACTAGGCTGGTCTCGAACTCACAGAGATCCGCCTGCCTCGGCCTCCTGGAGTGCTGGGATTAAAGGTGTGCACCACCAACGCCTGGCTGAAATGAGCACTTTTAATGGTTGTGTCACTATGGAAACTGGGGCCCCACAGAGAAGACGTCCTCTCTTCCCTGCTTCTTCCCTCTCCTTCCTGCCTTTTCTTCTGCCCATGCCTGACACCATGAAACTGGTGGCAAGCAAGAGGCAACAGGAGAAGCCATAACTAGAAGATGGGAAGATATGGGACATCTTGGCAGATCTCTGCTTTTGTTCCCCCAGCCTATTATCTGTAGAGTCATAACTTCAGTATATTTCTTCCAGGGCTTCAAGGGACACACAGGTGATCCTGGCCCACCTGGTCCGAGGGTAAGTAAGAAGGTTTGTGGGACATCACCTTGCTGTTCTGTTTAGGAAAGAACAGTACACAGGCTAGAATGGTGTCACAGTGGGTGGCACCATCCCAACTTTTGAGCTGACTCTTGTAAATGGTTCTTCTGGGTCCACAAAGACATGCAGTCAAATTAGCCAAATCAACCTGAACGCAGGTTGCCTGTGTGATGTAAGCTGTTCACATGCCTCCTAAGCCCCATGAAGCAAGTAGGCTTTGTTTACAGAGGAGCAAACTCAGGTCATGGGTGACTTTCCCAAGTCACAGAGCACGTGCGTTAACACATAGGCCTTATCTCTTAGAACCTCTTCTTATTCTTTAACACATGTCTCTTCAAAATGCCCAAACTGAAGAAACTGTTGGGTCATTGGTTGGATTCCTTGAACGTTGCGAGTAACCAGGACAGAGCTAGAGAGAGAAACCAGTGGTAAGCCAGTAACAGGGGCTCAAACAGGTTCAGCTGACCCATTATCTTGTGTTCTTCTTGCCTTCCCTGTTGGGGAGACACTCAGGGCTCCCCCTGCTCTCCTGGAATCCTGTTCTGCTGCAGAGGCTGCCATACTCAGTAGAGGGCTCTTCTGTCTGACAGCCCTCTGGGGCTCTGCATCTCTCCTTCACCTTTAGATACTATGTGTTTGCAATGGCCTATAGCTGAATCAGCTCTGTCCCTAACAGTAACTTTTTTTTGTTCCTAGGGAGAACCTGGGACTCCTGGCCCCCCTGGAAGGGAAGGATCACCAGGAAAAGATGTAAGCTGGAATTCTTTGGTTGAGAGAACAAGAGAGATGGGCACCTAGGAACCCCACCATAGTGGCAGGTGGCAGTTCTGTGAGGAGTTGGAATGACATATAATTGGTTTTCATTGGGACTTGCGCTCCTTTCATACTTGGTGTCAGCCTGTATTTCACAGTTCATGGGGGGGTTTTCTGATTTGTCTACTGTCCAATGATGGGCCCACCAGATCTGTTTTACATGATTTGAGAGGCATTTCATGTTTTCTCCCTGAATTGTTTCTCAAATATCTTGATCTTTTTGGTGCTCATAGTAGTTATGAACCCCTCCAAGTCCCTACCATCATTTGATATCAACACTATTGCCATTACCACCACCACCATTGCCACCATTATCAACCACATCACTGTTCATGTCCCCCATCATTACGGCCATTAATGTGACTAATGCCGTAACCATTATCATCACCATCTCTAAATTCATTATCATTACCACTACCACGATCACCAAGAAGAACACCACCAGCAGTAGCAGCAGCAGCTGTCCTTGGGCTGTATTTCACTTTAAACATTTCAGATGTTGTTCACTTTTATTTGGTCTTGAAATCAGGGCGGAGAAGGTAGAGGTTTTTTTCTGGAAGGTACAAATACTGTCATAAAGAGACTCAGGGGTAAAAGAAGCCACCCTGGAGCCCATATTTGTAGCTCACCCTCCATACCCATTCCCCGTTCTGCCAGGTAGACTGAAATCTGGGGTATGTAGATTGCTCTCCTGGGAATGGGAAGCTTGTTGAAAGCGGGGAGACATAGTCCCTCGGTCCCATGTATTCTTCTTCTAGACCTTTATATCTCTCATGACCTCCATGGGAACCTACCTAGTTTATGGACTTCTCTTGTTTGTCTTGATACTTTAGCATTTTGGCTGTTTGGTGGATTTGCTGTGAAGGAACTAGAAAGTATCGCAAGGGAAAGTCAGTCTAGTTCTCTTGTTTTCTCCCAGCAATTTGTCCTGGTTAATTTTGTGTCAACTTGACATAAGCTGGAGTCATTCAAGAGGAAGGAACCTCAATTGAGAAAATGCCTCCATAAGACTGGGCTGTTGACAAGCCTGTGGGCATTTTCTTAATTAGTGACTGGTATGTGAGGGCCAAGCCCATTGTGGGTGATGTTACCCTTGGGCTGGTCCTGGCTTCTAGCAGAAAGTAGGCTGAACAAACCATGAGGAGTACACTATCAAGCAGGACTTCTTAATGGCTTCTGTGTCAGACTTTCTTCCTCAACTGCCTAGCTTGATGAACTGTGATAAGAAAGAGTAAGAGAAACCCTTTCTTCTCTGGTAATAGTAATGGTAACCTTAACTAAGACATGGTTGTAAAGCCAATCAAGTAGGTGGAGCCCTTGAGGCTATCTGAGACACTGTGTGGGGGGTGGTGCTGTTGGGTGGCAGATTTCAAACTCTGGTGACCTAGGCAGGAATGGCTGTAGGTTATTATCCAGTGAATTTTTCATTTTGATTTACCTTGACTCAAGATCTGACTACTTTAAACTACCAGGAAACAGATGAACTATGCCTAAGCCAGTAAATAAACATACTCATTTACAAATGTCAACTGAAAAGCATCTCCTCATCTGGGTGAAACAAATTTGTGCATATTTCAAGTTCTTGGCACCGAAAAGGAAATGTTTGGACACAGTGCTGGGTTCCTGGGTCTGGTGGTGAAATCTGGTCCACAGTAGACCTTTGTCATTTTTGCATGTAGCTCTGTGATTATATGACCCCTCTCTGTTCCAGGGTGACACTAGACCTGCTGGTCCAAATTAGACCTTTGTCATTTTTGCATGTAGCTCTGTGATAATATGACCCTTTCCTGTTCCAGGGTGACACTGGACCTGGAGGACCGCAGGGTCTCAGAGGACCAAGGGGTCCACCGGTGAGTTTTCTTTTCACATTAACTTGCTGTATTGTTCAGCAGAGCTGTTACCATGGTGATGTTTGGTGTTTCACATTGGTGTGGATACAGGCATTGTTTTAAAATGATGGTCTGAGTCCTAGAGGATGCTAATCAGCCACTGCCCTTTTCTCCAAGTGCTTTCCTACATGTGACCCAGAATAACCCACTGACAGTCTACCCACAAGGACTCTAAGAGCTGCCATATTTCTAGTTTGGGGCCATTACATAGTTTTATGTGCCACATATGAATTTTCTATATGTATCACAACTGGCAGCTTCTGTACAAAAACATTTACCTTTGTTTCTGGAGGCCAGGGGAGAGAAGTTAAGGTACCAGCCATGAGGAGAGCATCCCTGCATCTTCAGCTTCTTACAATGTTGGGGGACACATGAGGGTACCAACTGGCAGCATTGGAACTCATTGAATGTGGCTGGGTGGTTGGCAAAGCCATGCCTAAGTGAGCCCTGAAGAGACAAAACCCAGAAGACTTCATGTCTTGAGGACCTCATACTGTTATTGAGCATAACTCTAATTGTTGCCTTCATGGTTGATATATCCTGTATAATCTATGGGATATGTGAAAACTCTCTGGTGTTTTGTAGCCCCTCAGTGAGCAGTGTTACTGGTATTTACAATAACAGTGTTTGACTTTTTCTAAGTATTGCTCCTAGAGCAGATTAATAATTCAGCCATCACCCTTAGAAAGAATTTAGACATATAGATTGTAATATTGTTAGGTTAAGATGTTTTTGTTAATGGCTTTGAGATTGAAAAATCTTGGGGAACAATTTAAAATTTATAAAAACACAACTTTTTTCCTCAAAAAGTGACTTTTATTCAAAGAAAGAGAGAAAAATAAAATAAAACAAAACCTCTCAAATGATGTGACAGACTATGATGGTCCCCCATGGAAGGCCTCACTATCCTTGAGGAATGGGTGGGAAGTGGGCTGGGGGGCTGTGGTGGGCATGGGAGGATGGGAGGGTGAGGAAATGGGGGATTGATATGTAAAATAATGTTATTTCTAAAATAAAATAAAATAAAAAACAAGATGTCCATCCCTTGGCTCCCTTCCCTTCCGGTCCAGCTGTTCCTCATCTCCCCAAGGACTGAACCCTAGCTAGGGCCAGGTAGCAGGACAGCCCCTCAAATGAGGTCAGCGACATTGAGGGGCATCTCTTCAATGATGGTGTTATAAAATGTCTCAATGTCTCAAAGAATTCCCTTCTGTCACCATATTAATAGCCACCACTTTATGGCCAAAGTGACCACTGCAACCAATTCTGCGGATGTAGTTTTCCATGTTGGTGGGAAGGTTGTAACTGATGACTAAGGAGACCTGCTGCCTAGGTCAAGAAAGTTGATAGAGCTGTCAGAGGATACAGTCTGTCCAGATTGACTAGGCATACATGTAAACAGCCAAGGAAGGCAAAGGCCATCTCTTGTTCCCCAGAGACCTCAGGCATACCAGGTTTTCTTCCAAGTTTCTATGTTCCTAAAGGGGGAACTAGTTAGCCCCTTGGAGAAGAAATCACCTTGGACAAGACACACTTTTAATAGTTGAACAAGGGACTTGTTGAGATCAGGGAACAGGAACAATGGTAGCTTGACTATTGCTGGCTGACATACCTTTCTTGCTAGGATGGGTTGATGATCAAAGGTGATGATTAATTCCTTTTACCCGTTCCTGCCCTCATCTTCCTGAGATAGATAGATAGATAGATATAGATATAGATATATGGGTGGGTATAGACACTGTGGATTTAAAGTAGAGCTGTTTTTCATATATAAAAGTTTAGATTTGTGAGTCTTTTAAGGTTTTTTTTATACTGACTATAACAACATTGCTTGGCTTAGAGAGGCATCACTCTATCTATGCTCTGTCTTCATGGAATATTCCTCCTATATGTATGGTGTGTGTGTGTGTGTGTCCCAAATTCTGCTTACATACAGGCATTGGTCCTATTGAATTAAGGGTCCAACCTCTTATACCATAAACTGACATAACTGATGGCATCTTTGATGATACTATTAACAAATTTAAACTGCAAGGCATAGGCATTAGTATTTCAACATGTGAATTTAACCCACAGTATTCCACATGTTGTTAAATATTTGGGGTTTTATCCATTCCTGTTCATACACCTAGGTAAATCCATAGAGTATGAGCAAAGGTACAAAGTAGATAAGAGAAAAGCCTTTGAGACCCAGAAGAGGCAGCTGTGCTTGTAATTTAGCATACTAAGAACAGTTAACTTTGCTTCTAGTAAGAATGCACTCTTACTAGAAAGTGTATGGTTTCAAATATGTAAACCAGTACAGTGATCATTTTAGCCTGTAGTGTTTTTACCCAGAAGAGGCAGCTGTGCTTGTAATTTAGCATACTAAGAACAGTTAACTTTGCTTCTAGTAAGAATGCACTCTTACTAGAAAGTGTATGGTTTCAAATATGTAAACCAGTACAGTGATCATTTTAGCCTGTAGTGTTTTTATACTGTTGCTTTAGTCTGGTCACCCAATGTCATTGCTAATATCTGAGAGGTGGGCTATGGTATGACAATGGGATGGATATGATGTGACTCAGAAACATGAACCTTTCAGCCCTACTACATCGATTTCATTCATGTTGTGGTACTTGTAGATGTCTAACACAGCCCCCAAATGTTTATTTTGCTTTCTTTAAAATCTACAGTCAAACAGGGATGGGTAAAACTCATGTGGCGACTGCCTCATGGCCACTGGCATCAAAGAAATGTGGGAGTGTTCATTGCATAAAGCACAGATAGCATTCATTTTGTTTCCTCCCAATGCAAAGATAAGAAATGAAGATGCAGAAATGCTCACAGTTTGCTCAAGATCACACAGCTCATCAACAATCGATGCCAGCCTTTGAATGCAAGCAGTTTGAGTCAAGAGTCTGAAGTTTAAGACTGTACCTTAAATGTCTGGGGACTAGATTGCCCCAGAGGAAGAGGGTCTAAACAGGAGTTTAGAGACAAGAAGCTTGAGAAGGTGACTGCAGCTTTGATTTATGGGCAGCATAGAACCCAGAGGGGCTCCTTGTTGGAGGATAATGATAGATAGATAGATAGATAGATAGATAGATAGAGAGAGAGAGAGAGAGAGAGAGAGAGAGAGAGAGAGAGAGAGAGAGAGGGTCTGTGGCTTAGGGAGGACCTGGTCCCAAAATCAAAAGACCAAAGTTCACAGGAAACAGGTGCCCACCAACACTAGTGCTGGCCCCATGTGCTAATGTCTGGTGGCCCTCCTCCTTCTGCAGAGACAGAGAGAGGACTAGATCAAGAAGCAGGAGAGATACCATTTCCATAGGGATAAGCCAAAGTACATATTTTTAGAGAGACACAGATGGGTTGGTGGGTGGAGAGAGTATAGGGAGGGGCAGGCAGCCCTCACTAGAAGGTCTGAGTATGCCTGTCAATAAAAAATAATGCTCAGGGCTTCCATTTCTACTAGCTGAAATCCCAGGCAGAGCTTAGATTTTCTGTGTTTCTTGATTTCCTCATGAAATAAGGTTATCTATGCTACATGGTTTCTGGGTGCATCTGGTGAGATGAGGTGCTTGAATACCCATGGTCCCATGGACATTTTAGGCAAAAGGAAGAGACTGTGTTTCTGATTACTGACTGAGCTGCAAACACATCTTTAACAAGGGAAGTGCAGTATGGGATGGGCTCAGTATTATGCTCAGAACTCAGCTTTCCACTTCTCTCTTGGGTGTGTGGCTTAGCATTTCTGTGCCTCAGTTTCTCCACATGTAAAATGGTAATGGCATTTTCATTTGGTGTGAGAAGTGCATGTCTTATGAAATGGACTGGTTCGTAATATAAACGGTTCCTGGCTAGGGTCGCCTAAAGGCTATTGACTATCAGATTTCCAGGTGTTGACACTTTCATGGGTATACAATTCATAGTTACAAGATGTCCAACCTGCTGAGCAGCCAGCATCCGAGAATGTAGCGAGGTGGTCGGGATAGATGACACAGAGACCGGTTGGTTGCTTTAAGAAAACTTTATGCTCCCCAAGTTGGCTTAGGAGAAGTCCCCAAGAAAAAACGCTTCCCTTTTTTTTTTATTTTCCAGTTTAAATTTAGATAAGAAACGAGGTTGCTTCACAAGTCAGTTCCAGGTCCCTCTCCCATTCCCTCCCCTCCTCCCGTGCCCTCCCCCCACCCCCCCCGTTATCCCCTCATTCCCCTAGGGAGGGTGAGGCCCTCCATGGGGGTGTCCATAGTCTGTCATTTCATATAGGGCAGGGCCTAGACCCTCCCCCAAGAGTTCAGGGTGAGAGTGCACGTCACATTGTTCTATGGGAGTCCAAAGTCCGTGTGTATACTTGGGATGGGTACTGATCTGCTGCCCAAGGCTCAATAGATTCCCTAGGCCTCCTCACTGACACCCAGATTCAGGGGGTCTTGATCAGTCCCATGCTGGATTCCCAGGCTGATGCCTGGGATTCAAGAGTTAACCTTTGTCTGGTCAGCTGTTTCTGGGGGTTAAACCATCCCAGTCTTAATCCCTTTGATCATCAGTCCTCCCTCTCTGTTACTGGCTTTCTTGAGTTCAGCTCAGTACTTAACCAAGGGAGTCTGCCTCTTCTTCAATCAGCCACTAAATGAATTTTCTGTTTCCCAGACTCTCTGGCCATAGGATTGTAGGCTGGCACTCCCCAGATCTATGTCTAAAATCCATATATGAGAGAGTACATGCCATGTTTCTCTTTTTGTGACTGGGTTACCTCACTCAGGATGGTTTCTTCTATTCAATGCAATCCCCATTAAAATCCCAGCACAATTCTTCACAGACCTTGAAAGAACAATAATCAATTTTATATGGAAAAACAAAAGACCCAGGATAGCCAAAACAACCCTGTTCAACAAGGCAACGTCCGGAGGCATCACCATCCCTGACCTCAAGCTCTATTATAGAGCTATAGTCCTGAAAACAGCTTGGTATTGGCACAAAAATAGACAGGTAGACGACCAATGGAATCGAATTGAAAATCCGGGTATTAACCCACACACGTACGAACATCTGATCTTTGACAAAGAAGCTAAAAATATACAATGGAATAAAGAAAGCATCTTCAACAAATGGTTCTGGCATAATTGGAGACTGGCATGTAGAAGAATGCGGATCGATCCATGTTTATCGCCATGCACAAAACTTAAGTCCAAATGGACCTCAACATAAATCCAGCCACACTGAACCTCTTAGAAGAGAAAGTGGGTGGTACCATTGAACGAATTGGTACAGGAGACAGCTTCCTGAACATAACACCAGTAGCACAGACAATGAGATCAACAATTAATAAATGGGACCTACTGAAACTGAGAAGCTTCTGTAAGGCAAAGGACACAGTCAGCAAGACAAAAAGGCAGCCCACAGAATGGGAAAAAATATTCACTAATTCCACATCTGACAGAGGGTTGATCTCCAAAATTTACAAAGAACTCAAGAAGCAAGTCTCCAAAACACCAAAGGACCCTATTAAAAAGTGGGCTGCAGAACTAAATAGAGAGTTTTCAATAGAGGAGTCTAAAGTGGCTGAGAGGCACTTGAGAAAGTGCTCAACATCCTTAGCCATCCGGGAAATGCAAATCAAAACAACTCTCAGATATCATCTCACTCCTGTCAGAATGGCTAAAATCAAAAACACCAATGACAATTTATGCTGGAGAGGATGTGGTGAAAGGGGGACACTCCTCCATTGCTGGTGGGAGTGCCAACTGGTTCAGCCACTTTGGAAATCAGTATGGAGATTCCTCAGAAAAATGGGAATAAATCTACCACAAGACCCAGCAACTCCACTCTTAGGTGTATATCCAAAAGATGCCCATTCATACAACAAAAATGTCTGTTCCACTATGTTCATAGCAGCTTTATTTGTAATAGCCAGAACTTGGAAGCAACCTAGATGTCCCTCACCCGAAGAGTGGATAGAGAAAATGTGGTACATCTACACAATGGAGTACTATTCAGCAGAAAAAAATAAAGGCATCATGAGATTCGCAGGCAAATGGATGACACTAGAAAACGCTTCCCTTTTTAAGGACTTCTGCCATCCATCTACATACAATTCTCCAACCGAGCTCTCATACACCTCTCTCAGCTCTCCCAGACTTCTCACCCTCTTGGCTGGTGGTTTAATCTCAGGCCCCAGAATCAGGGAGAAACCGCAGGGAGCAGGAAGAAGCATCTAGCCTTGGGGGGGGATCAAAGTCATGGTGTTTCAGTGAGTGAGCCCTTATCTGAGCCCTATCAAGAGCTTTATAGCACTGAATTGTTTTCAGTAAACATTATCTCACAGCTGCCTGCTCCCAGGCTGAAGGGGAAGTGGGTCTCTGCTCAAGGTCTGGTGTCCCCACAACAAGACATCATTCAGATCTTGGACTTTCAGGATTGATACTGTGATGTTCTTGGTCTTTTCATTAAACAGAGAACCCTAGTGTATGTCACTCACTAGATGCTGGAGATATAAGAACTATAAGCCACAGACTCGTGAAAGGCCTGTGAGCTGAGCAA